CATTCTTTGGTTCCAATAATGTAATTAAGCTTCGTGTTTTTATTTTGATTATTAGAAAGACATTATAAATCATAAATGTATGAAAAATTATTTTTGATGCCACATTTATTAATTTTTACAAAATGATATAGGATCATTTCCAGTGGGCTAAATTTAACCACCCATTTCAACGTCCTCTTCAATTCCTCGAATATACAAAACATTATTACATCTGTAAAAAAAAAAAATAATAATTTATTTATTATAAATATTATTATCGAATTGGAATTAATCCTATTAAGTAACAATTGATTTACCGGATTAATACTTCACCAAGAGCACCAGTAGACTGACCTTCAACAAATTCTTCAGTATTTGCTAGCTATAAAATAAAATTAAAAATAATTAAGAATACAAGTTAAATTAAATGTAATGTGATTCATAAAACTATAGTTTACCTGTAAGTTCATGTAAGAGTCTACAGAAACTAGAAAACCTTTATATTCCATACCCCATTTCAAGCGAACCATTACGGGTTTACCTGTTAATTCTTGTAAAAACGGTTTTGGATTTACAGGTTGAAACTATATAATATCATTATATTTGTTAGTCACTAGGAAAATCGCGTAAGACAATATTCTTTGAAACAAAACTTACTGCCATGATAAATATCACACTAAATAAACTAAACGAATGGTGGTTGTAATTAATCTCGGTAGTCAAAATGCCGTAATTCTGGTCGTCTACTATGATTAAACCTCAAAAAATGATATTAACAGTTTATAGTGAATATTTTGGGTTAAAAATTTTTTCTTTAACCTGAAAATATAGTTGGATTTGTTGATTCGAGATTTTTATACTTTTTGATGTGGTCACGTGAAATTATGCGATTTTCACGACATTAAACCTAAAAAAAAAAATGATCGTCCCTCACGACAACGGTGTAGATCATATAAAAAATAATTATTTAGACCTTAACGTGACAGCAAGATAGCTAAGTATTTATGCATAAGTAAGGGATTTATATATAATAAATTAATTTTAAAGTTTCAGATAATATGATATTATACAAAAATTTTAATGTATTATAAATGTCTGAATTCAATTAAATTTTTCAGCAAATGTCACCGGTCACATGGGTAATCAATTACTATCTATTGCTGTAACACCAGTGATGATCACTATAATATTAATAAATATTTACTATTTTTTTATTATTAAAATATTTATCTACATAATTTATGTTAAATATAAATTAATTATATAAAAAACAATCACTTTTATTTTTATATACTTTAAATTTAATAAAATAGTGTAAGTTTTTCTTTATTTTTAAGTTCTAATATATTCAAATATAAGTCAAAATTTTTAAAATGATTGTTATGTATAGTTTGTAACTACTGTAACTACTGTAACTACTAGGAATGCAGACTTTTATATCATTGTGACGTATCTTGACGTGACATATTTATATATGACGTGATGAATTGATGTAACCTTTAAAATAATGTTGTGAATAAAAAAGCTTTGATAAAAATTGAAGGGAGCTTAACCAGTTTGTCAAGTTAATTTGATATAAATTCATTCAATTATGATGGTGAAAACAAACCGAACATGCCAATTTTTCCCAGTAATTTCGAATCTTAACAGTTTATTTTTGTAAAAATATCGTAAGTATAACTTTTGATTTAGAAAAGAATTGACCTCGCGATTGAGATGTTAAATGCTCGACATCATAGATTATCAAATTCGTCACCTCAAAAGTTATCTAAATATTGATTTCCCGCCTCCCGTGGTTCCTTAACAATTTGTTTAAAGATTTCGCCTTGACTTTTTTTAATTGTGCATCAACTTTTTAGCAAAGTGATCGCGTTCCGAAACGGAACGTGCACGTGATTTTATTAACAAAAATTTTAATACGGGGTCTTTATCTTTTTTTTGTGGTGTGGGGATTACTGTTGTATAACTGTACATTGGAATAATAAAATATAATTCGCTATTTATTGCTATAACCATAAATCTGGCCTTGCATATACACATATCGTATTGCATGTTAAGTTGTGAATTTTTGACGACGGCCTTTGATTTAAAAATAAATATACATCGAACGCTAATTGATAGATTTCCATTTATAGAGTGATTCTTTATGCCCAAATAATATTATATTCGAAGTGTGAAATTCATTTTTTCTTGTTATTAAAAACAAAGAAATCATTTCGATTTTGGAATTTTGCATAAAGAAATTCCGAGTATACAATCGACAAGTATATAATTTTCTGGAAAAGGAAAAAATTAAAAACTTGTTTTTCCACATGGAGTTTTTAAAATCCGAAATTTTTCATTAAAAAACTGTCCGATTATAAGAAATTATAAAAAAATTCTTTTAACTCCGCTTTTTCCGATTCTAAAACCTTTTAGGACAAAGAATAACATTCTTTTTTTTTTTTTTTTTTTTTTTTTCCGCTCTTGTTTTTCCGGTGCTTTGTTTTTCTTTTTTAAAAAAAACCAAGAAACAAAAAATTTTTAAAAAATAAATAAAAGAATTTTTATATAAATAAAGTGTAATATACAAACTTTTTTTTTTCTCTATTTTTTTTTTCTTCGCAACTTTTGATATATCAACAAAAAAAAAATAATAATAATAAATAAATTCACCATATATATATGCAGTATTAAATTTATTTATATTTTTATTTTCATTTCTTAAAATGAGTTCAGCAAAAAGACCATATAATGAAACTATGTCTTCACCTTCTTCCACTTCAAATGCTTCCTCTTCTTTAAATGATGATTTTATGGAAGAAAAAGTTGAACAAGGTATGGATATTGAACAAAATGAACAAATTGTATATCATAATTTAATCGAAGGAAACTTTAGAAGGAAAAAACTAAATAATGATAAGGTTGATCAATTGAATACTTTTATTTCAAATCCTTTTCCATCTACTTTAAATAATTCATTTCAACCATATACTTCATCACGTAATTATCCTCTAAAGGATATAGTTTCTGATACTAAAACTTCTTCTATTCCGTTTCACAAAGTCTCGGCGACTGTTTTAAATGAAGAAAATAATGAACTAGATAAAAATAAAAACAACAATTGTTCTTTAAAGCAAAATTCATTCGATTCATTGACGTCATCACCAACAATTTCCATTTCAACGTCAGAGACAAGAATTAGCGATGTCACTATCACTGCTTCCAACGATTATTTCTCGTCTACTATTGATTTTACTAAAGAATATATCCGTACACAATTGAACGAATCTGATAGTAAAGGACCATTTTATTCATTTTATCCTCAAATCTATAATAGTAATCGCCTGGTAATTTTTGAAGAATCATTCTCTTATTTAAGACAATTATATGAATTCTGTGATGATAGTTCAACAAAATTGGCATCAAATGTAACTTCAGTATTAGCTGGTTTAATTGCATTATTAAATGTTCAATTGGATGGGTTTGATATACCATTTATTGAACATCATAAATGGAATGGTTCAAATTTTTACGGGTCTATTGATATTGGAACTTTATTGGACCATTTAGATGAAGGTTTAGGTATATCAACTGCCGAATTTGTTTTTTATAATCGTGACGATAATGGATCTTCCTTTATAAAAACTGGTAGATCAGTTCTACAATGTGGTTATCGTAAAACACGTAGTAAGCTTAAACCTTTTGATACTCCTTCTCCACAGACTTTGTTAAATAATAATGAATTAAGGCATGCGGTATTGGATGTAGATGCTGAAAGAGAAACTCAACTTTTCTTGGAATCATTAGCCGCAGAAGAACAAGAAGAAAATTATACTGACCATGAAGATGAAAGTGAATCCTTTACTGAACTTTCAAATAATGATATAGACGATGATGATGATGATGATGACAATTCTCATCGACAGCGTACAACCGATACATTCGGAAATCTTACAAGTACGACAAGAACAACTTCTGCCGTTCGTTGTATATCAAAACCTTCTGCCGGTGGCATTGATAGCGAGACTGATGATGATTTAATTCATAGTGAGGAATCTTCTTTTGACGAAGTTGATGACGTTTCTGATATTGAAAGTGTTGTGACTGATTCTACTGTCGAAGAAGATTGGCTTCGTGTCTCTAGAAATAATTCCCATTAATTTTGTACATTTTTTACACATACATATATATATATATATACCTTCTTTTATTCTTGATACATAAAATAAATTAAATTTTTTATATAAATAAAATAACATTTTTTTTTTTAAAAAACAAAAAAAAAACAAAAAAAAAAAACTTTTATAAGGACTTAAATTTTGATTATAAATAAAAATTAGTCTTGTTTATTTGTTAAAATATTTGAAATGATAATGAATAACAGCTTAATAATATATTAGATACTTTTTAACAACTTTACCTTGAACTTATGCTGATATCATTTTACAAGGAAGATTTCTGCATAAGGTCAGGATATTTTGATCCTATGGCAATTACAACTTCCTCGACGTGATGACAAACATTTTGAATGGCTATATCCCATTTAGCTCCCAGTACGCCACAAATAGATTTACCACCACTTCCATAACTACTTTCAAAGAATATTAATCTTTCAATTTGATCAATTGTACCCTGCATACGACCTTGTTCAATCATTGAACTAGCAATTTGTTCAGCTTGATCAGGAGAAATAGCTAACAAAGAACCAAGTTCTTCAAATGTTATATTATTATAAATCATTGAGGCTGATAAAAGATTATGTTCGATAACAGCTCTATCAAGTACTGTTGTGCCATCTGGCAATCTTGCCTTTTGATGATCTTTTAGAGTTTCTGCGAATCCTTTAACTTCATTTGGCCTTAATACGCGATCAAGGTACATTTTCTCCAGAATTGAAAAATGCGGTAAACGTTGTACACGTTCATCCTTATAAAGTGTTGCCAACATACGTGAACGTTGTGGTCCCGCTCCTGCCAAAACCGCACAAGTTATAGCTGCATTCCTAATGATAATTGTAAACTTAATGATGTTTTTATTTCGTAAAATAAATTAATTTACTAAAGTAAATAAATACTCACAGACAATTTGTACGGTCATCAGCCGCTAATTCTGAAACATAACTCAATTCATGATATTTTGAACTAGCTTCCAAAAATTTTCTTTTAAAATCAAATATTTTTGCCTGAGATAATTTAAATGTAAGATTAATCACTTGATCTTTACAGCTAGGAACTAGTAACGCAGCACGACTGAGATATGTTTCTGCTGATACTGCTTCATCTTCTTCCAAAAGAAGTTGAACAATCTTGATATAAATTTTTAATTTATATTCTTCCGGTATAGTTCTTTTAAAAATAATTTATGAAGAGTAAATAATAATAAAATAATAAATTAAAAAGAAAATAAATTGTATAAATGATTTACCTATGACCAGAGTCTAATGGAATTCCTTGTAACACTTTAGCTGCCTCAAGCCAATCTTCCTCATTTTCATAGATTTCTGCCAATTTCTCACGAAGTGTTGAAATCTATAATTATAAAACGCGAAAATAATATCAATTTAACATAATTAAAAATTAAAAAATAAAATAAAATTAATACCATAACCTCACCTGTTCTTCGAAACTAACAACTCTAGGTTGTACTTTGCTTAAAGCAAAATGAAGAACACGTTTCTTAATTTCAGAATTACTAATTTTGTCAACACCTTGTACAAAGTCACTTAATACTTGACGAGAAATAACCAAGCCAACTTGTTCTTGTACAATATGATCAACAAAGGCTTCTAAACTATCCGCAAGTAACAGTTCATTTGTTGAAGTTAAAATTGTTTCAAGTAAAGTACGATATTCTGCAGTTTTGTCCTTTTGTGAAGGAATTGACGCAATAGTTCGAAGTCTTTCATTAATATCAGACATGATATTATCGTGAATGTCTCTAGTTAGTTAGAAGGTTAATTTTTTTTTTTACAATAAAAATTTGATTGACAGAGCACATGATTGTAGAAATTAGAACGCGTATCTATATGTTGTGCTACATACTATTTTTTCTTTCATTCTATTCATTCTACCTTTTTTTTTTTATTTTTTTTTCGGTAATAATGACATTAGAACAATATAATGCAAATTCAAAACTACCACCAGGACATGGTCAAATAAAATGTTATGTATCTCCTTCAACGACAAAACCATCATTTTCAACTTTTCATGCGTCATACCCAATAAAACTTTTAACACCTAAATTACATAGCCCATATTTAGCAGCAGTTTATATCATAACATATGGAGGAGGAATGGTATCAGGAGATTCCATTTCTCTTTCAGTTGAATCTCATCCAAATGTTAATTTAATGTTATTAACACAAGGTTCAACCAAAATATATAAACAGCGTCCGGGAAGAATGTTTGTTAATAACAACAGTATTCAACAAAATGACGAAGAAGTAATAAAATCTGAGGGAACTCAACAAAAGGTTAATGCTTTTATACATAAAGATTCTTTATTACTTCAATTACCCGAACCAACAACTTGTTTTCGAGACGCTGAATTTACTCAAAGACAAATATTTACTTTACAAGATAGAACTTCTTCTGTTGTAATACTTGATTGGTTTACATGTGGTAGAATGTCTCGCGGTGAACGTTGGGATTTTTTAAAGTATGATTCTGGTATAGATTTAATTCTTGGTGATAAATTAATTTTACGTGATGTAGTATTATTAAAAAAAAATCATCATAAATTATTGAAAACCCGTTTGGAACCATATGAATGTTATGCTACTTTAGTTTTATATGGTCCAAAAGTAATTCCTTTAATTAATTCTATAATGGAAGAATTTAATAAAATCGTTATAGACAAAATCAGTATAATGCCCAACTTAATTTGGTCTGCCTCTATTCTTGGTGAGAAACATGATATAATAAATGGTGTAGTCGTTAAGATTGCTGGAATAACGACCGAACTTGTAAGAAATTTCTTAATTAAAGTTTCTCTTAAAGGTCTTGAAGATATAGTTGGTGAAAATTTATTTGAACGAGCTTTATAGAATAATTAATTTTATTATTTATTATATATCTTATTTTTATTAACGTTAATAAAATATTTTTTTCCTTTCAATTCTTCAATTAAATATTTATTTGCAAGATCAAATGAGCTTAAAAATAAATTTATTAAATACTCTTTTGATAACTCTCCCTCCGCTTGACATTCAGGCTGACCATTTCTGTTTGAAGAATCCAAGGTCTAATGCTTTTTGTAAAGTTCAAACTCTTTGAGGATATCAGATGAGACATCGAATTAGTTTTCTGTTCACGAATATAAATATTGGATTAGTTGAGTGGAAATATAAATAAAAAAAAAAATTCCCCCTCTTTTTCAAATTGACAAAATTCTGTCCCAAATGATTGTGAACAAATTTAGAAATTACGAGTTATAGAAAAGTCTAATCGCTTATCTACAGTATAAATAAGTAACTTTTGATAAAAAAAATAGTTATAAATAAATTTTTAAAAGAAATATAAACTATGAAATCGACATTTTCCATGTGACCGCCAAGGTCCTTTCTTCTCTAGAACTGGCAAATTTATTGTGACTTTTAGGACCGTTTAGGACCGTTTAACATCCCTAATTTAAATCAATAAAGTAGATAAAAATGTCAAATAATCTCAATATTTAAAAACTTAAATATAATAATAAAAGGTATTTTATGAAGTTAAATAAGTTCAAAATATTCAGTTATGTTGGTTTAAGTGTCCTTAATAGGAACCTATGCGGGTTATGCCAGTGATATAAAATAATACTTAAATACTATAATAAGCATTTTAAATATTTACCAATCAAGATAATTCTGATTAGAAGTATAGTTTATAAATACTAACTAAAATTTTTTTGTTAAATTTTTTATTTAAGTAGTTACATACATTAATTTATGTTATCTTACTAAAAAGTTTAAAAATTTTTATGATTAATCTATTATAATCTAATATAAGATTATAAAATTTATTATAAAGAAAAACTTTTATTATTACAATTTTATAATTTATTAAGAAATTTTATTAATAATAAATTGATTCAATTAATATACATATATAACATATGAATATTTAAAAATTATTATAATAAATTTTTTAAAACTTAAATTTTAAAATTAATTTTTTTTTTTTTATATAATAATAATGTTACTAAAATAAATATATATTTTTTTTATAATAATAATAATATATATAAAATGTACTCAAAAGATTCAAATAATTTTTTATTAATTAATATTTTATTTAAAGCAAAATAATCTTTATATTTTATATTAAATAACTAGAATTAATTACATTTTGTACTTGTTTTATTCTAATATACTATTAATTAAAGTTTTAATTAATTGTTTTAGAATTACCTTAATATATTTTTTAAGCTCAGAAAGTTTGTCAACTTTCTTGAATTTAAGTAAATCTTGAAAAGAATATGCAAATTCTTTTTTATACAGTGAACTCTTGATATAACGAATTCTAGGATCTGGATATCAACTTCATTATAAGCTTATAATAAATTTTTTAAAGAATTTAATTGGCTAGTTTACTATATATAGTAAGGTAATTTTAATATATTTGATTTAAAAATTTACTATATCAAGAGTTCACTATATCAAGGTTTGACTGTATATATATTATTGTAATTTTTGATCTATGAAAAACATTATCTTTTTATTTCTATTTAAAAATATATATCACATTATAAATATAATATATTTGCAAAGATTTTAATATATATAATACTAATTTATGATATTTATAATAAAACAATTAGCCTTACACTCTATCAAAAAAAAACAATCCAATAAATTCAGCTGAAGATATTTAAATCCTTAAATAGTTATGAAGCTGTATTCCTTTTAAATTATCAATTTTTTGACTTGTTTTTTTATAATGTATTTAGACAGAATAAGATGTTGACAAAAAGCTAAAACCTATAAAATTAATTTAATATTAGAGATAACATCTCAAGGCTGGTCTCGAGTGTGTTTAATAATATTGTAAAAATTTGAATATTCTAAGGATTCAGAAATCAGATATCTTATTAATTTACTAGATAATATTCTTTTAATAGTCTTAGATTTTTATCCTATTATATTTTATAATGAAAATTGACAAGCATATATAAAAGCAAT